CTCCCATTTGATATTTCTCTGGTAACCAGCTGTGCTTTTGTCCTCTGAGTTAGGCTGTAGCAGTGCTGGCTTTAAGTACCCAGACAGCAACCAAACACGGAAAGGCGCTCTTGCTTCCCTCGCTGTGGGCAGCGAGTGTGCATGGCAGAGTGTGTGTGTGTGTGTGAAACAGATTTCATAGCTCAGGCTGGAAGGAGGTTACAGAGAGGTACAAGGTAGCAGGCCAGTTATCAGCAGAACATTGATTTCCTTATAGCAGATGACAAAGAACGGGGGGGGGGGGGCGGGAGGAAGGGAATGGATTTTTCTTCATTATAATCTGCAGTCTCAGGATCTCATTTAATTTCCTGGCAGTTTCATCCCTTAGCAGTCGAGGGACAGCGTGATGGCTGCAAACAGAGGCGTGCTGTACCTCTGCTGATCTCAGAGCGAGGCACGTGTAGGCTGGCTGGGCTGTGACGGGAAAGCTCCATGGTATTACAAGGACTGGCATGGGGATGCACTACGCGGCGTTCGCTGAGTCAGGGCTGAACCCAATGCTTCAGTTTGGCACTAAGGGACCCTGCCCTCAGGGACACCTTTTTTCAGATCAGCTGTAAAACGGAGGTCCTGAGCACAGCTGGTCACTGAAGATCAAATGGCACTTTTCCCCCATAAGGAAGGGATATTAACACTGGTGTTCTCCCCAACCTAGATAATGACATTCTCCTTTGCCAGTTTACCTGGAGGCTGGATTCTTCGCCACTTCTTCTCCTAAGCGGCTGTGTATCATTACTGTGAGATGTTAAAACGGCTGATGAGATCCACCTTAGAGGTGGCTGCAGTCGGGGGTGGGAGAAGAGATCCCCAGATAAATGTGGTTTGGGTTCCTTTAGGATGAAGGATACTACAGTAATTTCAGATCACCAGTGCCTTACTGGTAATTTGCATAAGGTTTATCTTCTGGGGATTTTCAAGACTTGGGTGAAACTCATGAACCACCACCTCCTGTGATCCACCCTAGCCTCTTCCACCCAAGCATGGCGAAGAACTTTACAAACAGTAATGGAAGGAGCTTCACAGCCTTCGTGGGTATCAGGTGAGTACTGTCCTCATTTTACAGATGGAGAAACTGAGGCAGGGAGTAACTTGGCCATGGCTACACAGCGCGGCCGCAGCAGAGCCAGGAACAGAGCCCAGGGAGACCTTGTGTCTTAAACACAAGCACTGACAAAGAGGGCAGGCAGGAGGAAGCTTCTCTGTGGTGCAGGGCAGCATCGGGGTCCCCTGTGGGGACAATGGGTTCTTAGATGGAAAGTCACTCAGGGTGGGCCCTTATGCAAAGAGCCCAGAACACAAAACCAAGAGAGATCAGGTTGGAGTCCCTGCATCAGGCAACAGACAGCAGCACCCCAGTAACAGGGTGAGGAAGCATAGACAAAACAAGGGGTCTGGAAAAAGAAACGTTCAACCTCAGCACGATCCCTTCAGTGCAGGCAGCTCACCTCCGGCCCCTACCCTGAGCTGCCCTGCTCGGTCTGTGGGCAGCGAGGGCTCCCTGCAGCACCACCGGCCAGAGAGCCACCCCTGCAGCACGAGGGACCTGCCGGCCACAGGCAAAATGACCCCACTGCTGAGATGCTTCAGTTTCTGATTCCAGCTGGGTGGACAGCACCAGCACTGCAATGCAATTCCCCCCCTCCTCCCAACACACACACGCACCACACCCCTTCTGTCTGCTTGCAAGCCAGCAGCCTGACTTGCCAAAGCCTCCAGGGAGGGATGCTCCTCATCTGCTGCCTCCCTAATCCCGCCAGGATCTCAGTGCATCAAGAGGCCAGCTCCTTCCCAAAGGGCAGGCAGCCCAGCTGAGCCATGCTGGAGGGATTAGCGTGTCACTCCTGAGGTCTGGCAGACTCTGGGAGTTCCTGCACTGCCTGCCAAGGCGAGTGGGATGGAGGGGAAAGTGGCGGGAAGAGAGGAGAGCAACCGGAAAGACAGAGGGGAGGCAGCTGCAGCGTAAAGAAGGCCCGAGGCGGCTAATTGCTCTAGAACAAACGCTGCCCTGGCAACTGCTTTTAATCCTCTGTGCAGGGTTTAACTGCTTTTAATCCTCCGTGTCGGTTTCATCAGCCCATTTGCACCCCCCTCCCCCTAAGATGCAGCAGCCTCAGCGCACACGGATCAAACATGATTATGGGCAAGCAGGATGGAGCCAAAACCTGCAGATGTCATTACCAGATTATGGCTCGTCAAGCCATCCTGAGCCAGGGAACCGCGTACTGCAGCCTCGATCGCCCCCAGCAGCTGCAGGGCTCAGAGCTCGGGCAATGCCACAACTGGAGGGGCTGCTCTGAAAGCCAGCTTCGACCAGTGCTGTAGCATCTTTCCATGCCAGCCAACCAGCTGATCAGGAAGCATGGAACTCAGAGCCCTCACAGGCCACATCTGGTCCACCCCCTGGCCAGCGCAGGGTTGTTCCCTGCATCTATCTCAAGAGCTCTGTACAATTCAGTGTTAAACATCTCCAGTAGCTTCCACTGCTTCAACAGAGGGCTCAGGACAGCTTGTTAGTCCACCAGGCAGGAGATGCTGGGTGTGATGTTGTCAAGTCCCATACTCTAGAAGGAGCAAATGTCTGCATTGCACGACCCCTTCAAAGCCATATACCAGGACTGGAACGGGAGAGCTCTCATGGGCCAGCGTGAGTCAAGCCCTGTGTGACCAGCTTCTGTCCTTCCTGCAAACACTGAACAAATGAGGATTTACACCCATTTACAAACCCTTAAAGGGCCTAGAACTGGATGAGTGGAAGCTAGTGGAAATGCTAAGGGATCTGGTGGATGGCCACAGCCAGCTGGTACAGAGACCCAAGTCAATGAGGTCGGGTCGCAGAACAGCCTGAGTGCTGAAAGAGAGAGGAGGGGTGCGATATAATTATACCTCGCTCTTATAGAGCACTTTTCACCTGTAGATCTCAAAGCCCTTTATAAAGGAGGTCAATAACATTATCCTTATATTACAGGTGGGGAAACTGAGGCATGCCCAAAGTCACCCAGCAGGCCAGTGGCAGAGCCAGGAATAGACCCCTAGTCTCCCAAAGCCCAGACCAATGCGCTATCCACTACGCAAAACTGCCACCCCATAGGGGCAATGGTGGAGAGGAAAGAAGTACAATGCCCTGGGACAAATGGAGGCACCTTCCAGTCGCCCTGAGTAGCTGCTTTTTCCTGGCTTTCAGATCCTCTTGGGGCTGCCAAGCTGGGCAAGATGCCTCAGTGGAGGAACAGACTTTCTGTGAATGGAGCAGACCAATTTCAGGATGAGGGCGGGGATGCATGTCTTACTGCAACTGGTTTGCCGGTCCCTTTCTTTGACAGGGCTAATCAAAGCCTGCCTATGGCCCACATGCCCTAAAATACCAGGGGGGCGCAGCCTCACATTAACCACTCTAACAGGGAACAGATGGAAGATGGGATTTATCCAGCTGGACTCAAACCTGCTTCCCCCCTGCTCACATTAGCTGCTCTCGTGGATGGGAGCAGAGGGTGCTCAGTCTTTCGCAGGAGGCACGGGGCTCCTCCCTATCCAGGATATATTCATGTCACCTTGTACCACCTGGTATTTCGCAGCTCCACCTCCCCCCTGGTAAGACTGCCAGCAAACAGCCCCACTAGCCCCCTCTGTGGCAGACATCAACAGCACTGCTGTGTCCCATCAGACCCGGGCCAGCATGCAGCTGGACTGGAGACGCATCTCGGCATTGCACAGCTGGCCTGATGCAAGGGCGGATGCACGTCTGGACACTACGACAGCGAGTACAGCTGGACAGAGAGGGAGAGCACACAGCTGTCATGAGACATCTCCCCACAGGCCTTCAGCACGCTATCCCCGGATCTAGGAGCTTGGAGGAGGGAAAGGTGGGGTTTTCTTTAATTCTTCACTCCTCCTTCTTCAGCTTTAACCTTCTCCTTCAAAGCCCCCTTTTGTAATTCCCATACTTGGCCCCACCCACCAGCCAGGTGACAGTCCCTGGGGCTGGATCTATCAGAGACAAGTCAGGGTTACAGCTCTCCCACACCCCTCCCCTGCCGTCAGACAGGAAGTCAAGCTGCCTGCAGCAAAGCTCCGTACAAAGCTGAGCCCTACCAGCGGCTGGGCTAAAAGAGCTCAGAAGGCAGCTTGCAGCTGCGCACACCTCACTAGCGAAGTCTGCCCAGAAGTTGCACCTTCAGGCGCTGAGGCAAGCTGCTCGCTCTGGAGGGCTCGTGGGCAATGAGCCGAGATGCCATGGCCCCACTGCTGTGCCTACAGATCCGGCAGTGCAGCAGTGGGACGCCTAGGAAGGAAGCTTTGTCTCACCCTGATGACCAAGGGGTTTAGATTTTGTGTCCCAAAGTCACGGGGGTCGAAGGGAGAGGCCCAGTGTTTCACTGACCCTCACCGCCCCATTTGGGTTTCCTAAGTCCCTCCCTGGTCATAAGAAATGGAGACACCATCCCTCCAAAGCATGTACACATCACCATTGGCAAAGGACTGCTCAAATACGCCCCCACAGCCTGGGCCCAAGGGTCCTTTGGGATGACATGGGCAAGCAGGGTGCCTGCTCCATTCTAAGACTACCTGACCTGAAGCAAGCAACAGCTCCTTGGCTTGGTACTTCAAGTACCAAATGGGATTCCTTCCTCTGGCAGCACCGCCCCCCGCTCGCCAGCCAGGGCCAGCATTAGCAGGGCAGCAACAGGGCAGCTGCCTGGGGCTCCACACCATAGGGGCCCCATGAAGCGAATTTACATCCTCTCTACAGAGTCACTGTGGGTAAATGTCATGCAACTGTTACAGTAATTCAATCTCTAAAAGTGGAAATAAGCAACACTGTGGGACTTGGGGGGGAGGAGGCGATGCTAGGGGACTTAGGCTTCAGCCCTGGTCAGTGGGGCTTGGGCTGGTAGAGGCCTACTCCTTAATTTCTGCCTGGACCTCAGCGAAGCTAACGGCAGCCCGGCCCCCAGCCCCCTCACCTTCCTGCAGCCGTGGTCCTCCTCCTCCTCTCCCCGCTGGCTCACCCGGCCGGGCTTCTTACAGATGGAGGGCAGCGTCTGGTTACACGGGCTGTCATTCCACCTCCCCTCCTGGAGAGGATGGCACAGAGCAGGTCAGGCAAAGGGTCGATCACAGCAAATGCAGCTCTCAAAGGAGCAAAGATGGGATATTTTCAGTGGCAAGCTTGGGTAAGTCCCATCGACCCTGTGCTTCCTTCCTACGCTGCTCTACATTACACCTTCATTGTGGATCCCCTCTTCCTTTTATCTGCCCCTGTTACAGGGTCTAATCTTGCAGAGAACCTCTGGTTGGTTCAAATCCAGCTTAGGAGGGCAGTGTGATAGGAGTTTGGTGGCACTTGGTCCGGTTCTCAGTGGATCACTGACCACGCATTACAACCACCACCGGAAACAGCCCCCTTGTCAGCAGCCTCTGCAGGAGAAGGCAAGGAATGGGTCGGTCACAGAGACCACCCTCGTGGTCAGGTTTAGGGGACACTGGAGACACACTGCTGTCTGAGCCACACCCTTACGATGGACACAAAGCGTGCCAGTCTCCGGGACTGTTGGCACAGTGCTCACACCCAGGGATGCCATCAATCTAGGCTTGGCAGGATTAGATTTTGATCAGTAAATGTCAGTAAACGCTGATTTCACCACACACAAACCAACCAAAAACTATTTCCATCCATAATAACTGAAATTTACAGATTGACAAAGTAAGAAAGAAGCTGCTTGGAAACTTACGAGGGTTTGATGTAAGGATATTTACAATGTATATTTTGACATGCGAGGTTGAAAATTTGTGTTTTGATGGTTACAAAGCTTAACTTTTTGAATTTCAACATCTACAGTCGTTAAATAATTATTGTCTGACCCCCAAGTAATTTCCCACAGCTGAAAAAATACTTAAAAATAAACATCTAGCTCTGTTGAGATTTAAAATATGTATATATTGAATTCTGCCAAGCTCAAATTACTCCATTTCAGCCCTGCAAATTGGGTAGGAAAGGTCCCACATCCCATCCCGCTCCTCCTTCGCAATCAGTCCTCACCGGTCCCCAGATGGTCACACAGTCCTCCAGGCTGTCTCGGAAGTTGTTGGGCTCAAAGGGGTGCCAGTAAGTGAACCGCACTGGCGTCCCATCTGACCACTCAAAATTCATCTGCAGCTTGAGGTCGTTCAGGCCAATCCAGAGCTCCTCAACATCTGCCAAGCAGAAAGGGGAAGAGCTGGTCAGAGTCCAGCTCGGGTGTCTGGGGTGAACCTCACCCTACGTAAGCACAGTAGCACTTTGGTACTAAGAGAAAACTATGCCCTCTCTGAGCATTCATGGGGCGAAATGAGCTTCTCGCACATTACAAACCATGTTGGCTGTGAGCTGCCTGGGACAGGGACTAATTTCCTTGTTAGCTGTTTGTACAGCATCTAGTGCCATGGGGCCCTGATCCTCAACTAAGGTTCTTAGGGGTTACAGATAAATAATAATGGTCAGAATTTCTGAGACATCCAAGGGAGTTAAGTGCCCAGTTTCCAGATCCCAAGTTCTTTTAGGCTCCTTTGAAAATCCAAGCCAATGATGATAATATTACATACAAGACAAATTCATTAAAAGAACATTGGGGTTGCGAAGTCAAACACTCAAAAGTTAGGCCATGCCAGAATTAAGGTTGTCCATACTATCTTAATTTTGGCCCCTTTGTGTGTACTCCCAAGTCTCCTCTGCTATTGTAACCCATGCCAGCTAGATTAAAGCTAACACCAGTATGCCTGCCTGCGCAGCAATCACACCCCTATTTGCGGGGTAGACATACCCTGCGTTACTTGGCTGCAACAGGACATTCTGACATGCCAAAGGTGATTCAAAACTCTGGATTAAACTCATCCTTAGAGTAGATCCATTGACCTGGGCTTGGAACACAGGACCCAGTTTGTACTCAACAAGAAGCGTACTTTCAAAAGCCCTGCCTTGGCTAATAGTGAATAAGTACTCTGCATGTCTATTCTTGTGGGGAAGAGTCTGAAAGTGCTTTACAAATGCGTCTCTGAGGTAGGTTATAGTATCACTGCACTCCATGAAAAGCAGCCACCTCTTGATGGAACGTGGCGGCTATTTAACAGTGCACAGGAACATTATTACACAGCAAATTTAGGACAAGATGTGTACACTAAAACGATATCTAACTGAAACTGTTGGGGGAATCTTTCTCTACGCAGGTACCCAATTTGGAATCAGCCAGGGCCATCCTGATTCTTAAAAGAGTGCCAGGAGATCTTTAATAACCACTAGTGGTCCAGAGCCTCAGTTTTACATTTCGTGGAAACAATGCCATCACCAGAAGCACAGTGCTCGCCACCTTCCTCCTGGGGCGTTGGGTCAGCATTGACTCAAACAGAATGGGGCCATTCCTTTTTATTCCTTACTGAAATGAATGTATCAAATGCCAGCCATTGCCCTAGCAGATAAATGATACACTTCACACATGTTAAGTGCTTCTTGTGCGGTCTCTGATAGATTCACAAGACATCAGGGGATGATAGCACCTTCCATCTACAGATCTCAACCCCATTCACAGATTTGAATTAACTATCTTCACTATCCCAGAGTCAGAGAAGTATCCATAACCCCATTTCACAGATAGGAAAACTGAAGTGGTGGGAGGGATTTATCCATGGCCTCACAACGAGCCAGCACTGGAGCCGGGAATAGAGCCTAGTATGGACCAGATCACGATGCCTCTACTCATTCCAAGTAGTACCTTCCTCCACTAGTAGCCTCACTGGGACCACTCATGGTGCAAGAGAGGAAAGACTGTCCAGTAGTTAGGGCACTCAGCAAACGCAGATTTAAATCCCTGCTCTGGCCATGGACTCCCTGTGTGACCTTGGAGAAATCATTTAGCCTCTCTGGACCTCAGTTCTCCATCTGTGCAATGGGGTGAATAGCCCTCCCCTGCCTCACTGGGGTGTTGGGAGGACGAATGCATTAGAGTGTGAGGGGCTCAGCTGCTAGTCATGGGGGCTCTATAAGAACCTTTGGTAGATATCCCCCCTGAATACATACATGTAAAGGTCAATATGAACATGTATGTGCAGCACCGAACCATGTGCCTGTAGGTACCATGCCAGTGAAGATATGGGCTCCCCAAGCCACGCACATTCCAGAAGAGCCGATCCGCAGCTCTGACCCGGGTCCCTAGCGTGTCCCCAGGTGGCAAGCGCGCAGACCTGCTTTAACCCTTACCTTGCTTGATCTGCTTGGTGACAAACTCCAGCTCGGAGAGCGTGTGGATGCTCACCAGGTCCCCGCCGCCGCGCAAGCAGATCTTCTTCGCGTCTTGCCAGCTCTTCTTCTCGCCAACCAGCCGGTAGCAGCTGGACTGGAAGGGCTGCCAGGTAGGTTCACAATCAACCTTCACCTCTGACCAGGAGTCTGCAGGGACCCAGAGCAGACTGCTAAAGAGCCTTTCGCTAACTCCCCACACTGCCCCTTCTTAAAAAAGTTAAAGTAGTATGGGCTGGATGAATGGACTATAAGGTGAATAGAAAGTTGGCTAGATTGTCGGGCTCAACGGGTAGTGATCAATGGCTCCATGTCTAGTTGGCAGCCGGTATCAAGTGGAGTGCCCCAAGTGTCAGTCCTCGTGCCCGTTTTGTTCAATATCTTCATTAATGATCTGGAGGATGGTGTGGATTGCACCCTCAGCAAGTTTGCAGATGACACTAAACTGGGAGGAGAGGTAGATACGCTTGAGGGTAGGGATAGAATACAGAGGGACCTAGACAAATTAGAGGATTGGGCCAAAAGAAATCTGATGAGGTTCAACAAAGACAAGTGCAGAGTCCTGCACTTAGGACGGAAGAATCCCATGCACCGCTACAGACTAGGGACCGAATGGCTAGGCAGCAGTTCTGCAGAAAAGGACCTAGGGGTTACAGTGGACGAGAAGCTGGATATGAGTCAAAAATGTGCCCTTGTTCCCAAGAAGGTCAATGGCATTTTGGGATGTATAAGTAGGGGCGTTGCCAGCAGATCGAGGGACGTGATCGTTCCCCTCTATTCGACATTGGTGAGCCTCATCTGGAGTACTGTGTCCAGTTTTGGGCCCCACACTACAAGAAGGATGTGGAAAAATTGGAAAACGTCCAGCGGAGGGCAACAAAACTGATTAGAGGACTGGAACACATGAGTTATGAGGAGAGGCTGAGGGAACTGGGATAGTTTAGTCTGCGGAAGAGAAGAATGAGGGGGAATTTGATAGCTGCTTTCAACTACCTGAAGGGGGGTTCCAAAGAGGATGGATCTAGACTGTTCTCAGTGGTAGCAGATGACAGAACGAGGAGCAATGGTCTCAAGTTGGAGTGGGGGAGGTTTAGGTTGGATATTAGGAAAACCTTTTTCACTAGGAGGGTGGTGAAACACTGGAATGCGTTACCTAGGGAGGTGGTGGAATCTCCTTCCTTAGAAGTTTTTAAGGTCAGGCTTGACAAAGCCCTGGCTGGGATGATTTAGTTGGGCATTGGTCCTGCTCTGAGCAGGGGGTTGGACTAGATGACCTCCTGAGGTCCCTTCCAACCCTGATATTCTATGATTCTATGAGCCCTGTGGTTCCACTGTTGAGGGACAGGAAGGGGAATTGCACGGATCACTGTTCCCCCAGCGACGGCCAGATTCCATCTCCAACTAGCACGCTCTCAGCACTTCCCTCTTCCCCACTCTGCGGGCACCACTGCCATCCTCCCCATCGGAGTGCTCCATGAATTCCCCCGGGGCTGCCCCACCCCCAACTGGCATCTTTACACCAGCTCCTGGATCAACTGACTTCACAACATTTTCATGGGGTCTTCCTGTAGTTTGAGAAGAGTGCTGAGGTTCTACCTTCTTAGACCCCATTTTCCTACCCCCACCACGGGTATGCAAATCAGTGAGTCCAGCTCACAGCCTGCAGGACAGTAGCGACTGAAAGCTACAGCCACGTGGCAGCTTTTTGCTGGACTATACGTAGGGCCCTATCAAATTCACAGTCCATTTTGGTAAATGTCATGGTCATAGCATTTACAGAAAAATCTGGAATTTTATGGTTTGAGATATTTAAATCTTTAATTTCACAGTGTTGTAAACATGGGGGTCCCGACGCAAAAAAGGGTTGGGGGTGGGGGAGAGTCGCAAGGCTATTGTAGGGAGCATCGTGGTGTTGCCACCCTTACTTCTTCACTGCCCTCAGAGCTGGGCGGCTGGACTGGGGCAGCTGCTGGGCAGGAACCCAGCTCTGAAGGCAGTGCAGACGTAAGGGTGGCAATACCGTGGCCCCCCTACAATAGCCAGATTTCAAGGGGGAGACCAGATTTCATGGTCCATGATGCATTTTTCACGGCCATGAATTTGGTAGGGCTCTACGTATATGCAATGCGCACGGTGGGCCACAATCAAGTTCTCAGGGGATGGATGTCCACATGGTGGTGGTGGCAGTTCATGCAATCAGCCTTGTCACATAACTTCGGTTGCTCTGTGTTTGTACAGCACCTAGCGCACTGAGGTCCTTGTCCAGGACTGGGACTCCTAGGGGCTATCACAATTCAAACAGAATTATTAAAATAGCAATAAAACAGCAGCAACATGCTGACAGGCCCATCAGAAACAGTCAGAGAAAGGCCACGCTAGTAAGAAAAAAAAAATCTCTTGTGAAAACAGAGATTTACTGAAGGGGAAAAAAAACAACTACCCACCAGATGAATAAAACATAGAAAATTGAGCGTGAAGAGAAGAGCCAGACACAGCATGGTGCATTGTCTGGTTTATTATTTCTGACACAGCACTACCAGCTAGAAGGTTGTCAGTCAGACACTGGCATTAGAAATATATTTCATGTTTGTTACAAAGCAGCCTTAGTCAGAGCTGTAGGAAAGCAGTGACAGATTCAAGCAGCTAGCTTGGCACACATCTCGGCACGCCTGCTCAGGTGGCAGGTCAGCAGCCTGGAGAATGCTTTGTACTCATCGTAAGGTGGAGAAGTGCTGAGCAGCTGGGAGACCTGACCTACATGGGGCTGAGAACTGAGTCACTCAAGATAACCATCAGCTACAAAGCAGAGGAATTTGTTAAATGATTTAGAGTGCCAGACACCAAAGAAGCCTTCTGATTGGACAGCAGTAATGTCACACCCAGAGCGATAATGCCCCCTCCTCCCCCTGGAACACGATTAAAGCTCCCATTTTGCCTCTTCTAATTTCCATTTCATAATTGCACCGAGTGTCTCTAGGCTGTACCGCTCTGGGGGGAGTCAGTTCTCTTCTTGTGTGGCTGAAAGGTAGGTGGCCAAACACACCTGGGATGTGTAATCACCACCTTGCAGACATAAGGCTGTGGAGATGAAAGGGGCCTGGAGGAAGGAGAGGAAATGAGTAGCGTTTCTATGGTGCGCATTAGCATTCTGGCAGCTTTCCCCACGTACTGTACCCACAGTGAAACAAGCTGAACCTGTAAGGTGATCAGCACCCTCAAACTCCAGTCATTTAAATGGGAGCTATGGAGTTCAGCCCTTCTTAGTGTCAGGCCCTAAGGTCTTATGAAGGGATGGGGCGGATTCGCCACCGCTTTGCACCATGGGTCGTCACTGACACCTGCACAGAGCGATTCCAAATGGGGGCAAAACCATGCAATATTTTAATATATCCCAACTGGAAGGGCAGAGGCTGCGGGAGAGGTGGGAAATAATCAAAAGAAACCAGTTTGGCAACTTTGGAGAGCTGTCTGGTTTGCGTGATGGGCAAAGGTTCCCACTGGCTACTGGGGCAGTTCTTGTTCCTCTGCAGGAGGGGATTGCTCATCCCTCGTCGTAGGAAGAAAAACACAAGCCGCAGTGATAGATGCAATTCTGTACTTAGGGTTCTCAGTAAGCGACCCTGGGAAGGGAAATGTGGGCGAGAGACTGGACCCAACCAGAGGTACAAGGCAGTGCAGAATCAGGCCCCATCCAGGCCTAGGATCTTAGGGTCTCATACCCAGAGGTGCTGAGCACCCTTGCTTTCTTTTTTCCTTTTTTAAAAAACAAACCAACCAGTACAGACACCTGTGCAGAGTGCGCCCAGGGGGGTTGTTTTGTTATTAAAGAAAGAAACAGAAAAGCGGGGGGGGGGGGGGAGGAGAGAAGGAGATCTCTGGATACAAGTGTTGCCTTGGAGCACTGCAGCGCTGGCAGCCTCTCCAGCTCACCTGTTGTGAACGGATCGGAGGTGGCATTGGGTTTCTTCTTGCACACATAAGGCAGTGCGATGCTGCAGTCCCTGTTCTGCCAGCCCCCCGAGGACTCTGTCCGGATCACCCCACAGTTTTCTTCACTGGGATTGTCAGGCTGGTCTACAAGCAGGAATTTGGGGTTGGGGGGCGAGAAGGGAGGAAGAACGGTAGGGAAAATACAAGCATTAGAGCCCATCCCCTGGATGAATACAGAGGAGTTCAAACAGAAACCATAGCAGAGAAGCATGGTCCATTCAGTGGACACTGCCAGATGCTTTAAAAAAAAAAAAAAAGGAGTAAAACCCTATCATACTGCTTTTGGAGCAATGCTATATGGCAGGGGAAATTTCTTCCTGACCCCTAAACTGGTAATCAGCTTATGCCTTGAAGCATAAGAGCCTGGGGCCTTTAAAACCTCAGCTAGTGTCCCGGCAGGTGCTATTCTTATTCAGGTAAATATGTAACCCTAAAACTTACTAGGGTCTGATTTTCTGAAGTCAGTATTGAAAATCCAGCCCCCTACACTACCTCCCCCAATAACATCCTTCCACAGCAAATGCCACAGGTTAAATACAGGCAGAGAAAAGGAAGGAGAGACTTTAAGATGTTGCCTTTAAAATTAATTGCATGTCCCTGAGGGCTTGTCTCATGGAATGTGGTAAACAGGAGCAGACAGCTGGCCTCTATTATACAGGACCATTCATTATTTTATATTCCATGGCAATCACGATGGAGTTTAGGCTGAGAGTCTGTATTAGTAATTTAGGGGTAAAGATCATTACAGGGATGCTGGAATTATCCCCAAACCAAGCCTTGTGAGCCCAGGAAATTCAGAGTTAAAGTTATGTTTCAGAGAAATCCAAACAGGGTGAGATATGGAAATACAGTTAAGGCACCCATGCTGCCTTTACTCTGCCCTGCCATGCAATAACCATAGCATTACAATTCAAGCATTTTGGTATTTGTGGTCCTAGATTAGATTAAATTAATTTTAAGATATTCATTTTCAAGAATCTTTTCCCCCCCTTTATGGCACTCGGGGAAATCCTGAGCCCACTGCACTCGATGGCAAAACTCCCACTGAAGTCAATGGAGCCAGGATTTCACCCCAGGAATACTGCAGTGTGAATGTTCACCTCCAGCATCAGGTTTCATGTGGCATGGAGTTCCATGGAATCATGGAGTCTCACCACAGCACATGGCCCAGACTTCTCTGGTGTCAAGTGGCACACAAATCCATGGCAGCTCCTGGCCCAGGCACGCAGCTCCCTGGCATCCAGCAGCCCCGAGACCTGGTCCCCTGCACGGCACCGATGTCTCCCATTTCCTCTCAGTCCCCACGCATCACATAGAGCAGAGAGAAGTGAGGTAATTCCACATACGGCAAAGTGCTGCTGGCACATATGCGCCAGCGAATGAGCCTGCCTGTTAAATCCTGCAGCCGCCTGGCCCATCTCTCCTTCACCTTCTGGGGCAGGATGCTGGGATTTGCACAACAGAGGGTCTCTACACCCCTCCCTCCTCTGCCGTGCTGCCCATGGACAGCATCTACACCTGCCTTTGTCTCCCTCCTGCTTTGAGTTCGCCAGGACCCCACCCCACAGCAGAATCCTGCTCCCCATCTGCATCACCCTTTAAATACCCCTCAGCCATACGTACCACTCTCCCAGTTGAGGTACTTCAGGGGCGAGTTGTCTGACCACTGCCAGCCCCCGTTCATATCCAGGTCATTGAGCCCAATCCAGAGGGTGGAGCTGTAGCCCGTCAGCAGCCCTGGGACAGAGAGAGGACGATGGTGTCAGACACCTCCTGTTCTGGGAAGGCCTCACAAGTAAAGCAGCTCTAGACTAGCGGGCCCCCAGCATCAACTTCGACAAACACGGCTCCTTCCAGGCCCGGGTCCCTGGCATACAAGCTGCCACTGCACCCGGGGCTGCTTGCCCCCCCCGTCGGTGGGAAGAAGAGACGACAAAGACCAGAGGCACCAAAGAGACCGAGCTCCCCCATCAGCCTGACGACCGTGTGGGTGAAACCTGCCCTCCTGCTACTACCCAGGCTGCCGATCTAGAACCTCTCCCTAAAAACATCACTCGCGCTTCTTCCCTGCTCAGAGCGCTGACGACGCCAACGGCCTCTTCCACATAGCCACCCACACGCGTAGGCAATACAACAGCAATGGCCCACGCATTAGCTGCACGGCTGCAGCCTGCCACGGGCTGTGCGCGCATCGCCTCCCCCACACGGACTGCAGCAGGAGAGACACATGCACAGCTGCGGGCAGAAGCTGCTCAAAGGGTGTCAGTCACTCCGATAGGATAAAGGGGCATATCCCTAAATCCAGGCAGCAAGCTGCCATCTTGCTGGGTCACACAGATCCTCCAGGGAACCTGCCTGGCCTCACCTTGATGTGGTTGGCTAAACACCCATGCACCTCTCGAGGCCTCCACACACCTCATTAAGCGAACAGGCGTACCCACCTTGGCAGGTTCTCCAGTTGCACAAACTGCTCTCTGTCAAGTTCCAGGCTACAGACGCGTCCTGCCACACCCACAAGTCTCTAAAAGGTCCCCCTTGTAAGGACCCACCCACTCACTCTCGGAAGGGGGTTAATATTGAGGTTAGTGAGCATGGGCGACAGGTAGCATAGGCAGGGGAAGGTTGTGCCTCCCCCAACAGCCTGGTGTGGCCCTGCCCACATTCTGCCCCCACATCCCCTCCTGCCTGCTTCCAGCTCCCTTCCCGCTCTTCTGTGGCCAAGAGGCTGGGGCAGGCAGGCAGGCTGGGGCTGGTGCACAGAAGGCCCAGGACTGGGGGGGGCTGGGGCTAGGGCCGGGGCCATGCCCTGCCTCCCAAATGTCTGGTGCTGGGACCGTGCTGTCCACCTGGCATGCTTGGTGTGCATGGGGGGGCAGTGGCCACGGGGTGTGTGTGCGCGTGCTCTGGGCGCTGGTCGGGGAGGGAGAGCGGAAGGGGCGGGGCAGGACCTCAGGCAGAGGGACAAGGGCTAGCCTCCCCCAACAGCGCGTTCACCCGCTGCCCATGTTAGTGCACTATGGAAGACTTCCGAGAAGAGCCCAGGGCAGCGCTAGCCAACAGCTCAATGGCAGGATTATACAGCACCTTCAATTCATGTTTCCCAAAGCATCCGAGTCCAGCGCACCACGCCCACCCCGTTCTTAGAGCAACCGTCGTGCTACGGCACATCCGCACGGGCAGCCCCTGCTCGGCCTGGGGGCACCACCCCACTCAGAGCAGTGAGAACCCAGAAAAACCTAGTCCAGCCCTGCAGACAACGAGCTGATTTGCCTTACAGTGTTTTGCAGCAAGCTGGAGGCTAACGAGCACAGCGACGCTATGGTGAGCGCACGAGGACGTGTTCCGGGAGAGGGTGCTGAAGCAGTTGTAGTGTCAAGAGGCCAGGGACATCACTGCTGAACGGCCCAGCAGCCAGCACAGAGGAGAGCCCTACAGCTGCCCCTGTCCAGACAACCCTGGCAGTTGCTGGGGATGCCCTCGCTGCGGCGGAAGCAGCCTCTCCCTGCAGCGAAGCTCGCCTCAAAGGGGCGCTGGAGGCCAAGTGCCGTCACTAACTGGTGCCTCCACATCCCCTGCCAAGGAGCCTGAACCAGGGCCCCCCCTTCCATTCACCCCTTCCTTCCCCGGGCCAGCCCCGGCAGGGCAGTGCAGACTCACCGTTGATGTAGGTCTGCTCGTGGATCTCCGTGATGCTCAGCAGATTGGCTCCCTGCTGCTCGCAGCTGCTCCACGCCTCCCGCCAGGACAGGGTGGACTGGAAGTTGAACTGGTAGCAGCTGTTGGTCAGGTGATCCTTGTCCCAGAAGGTCTCGCAGTCGTTGCCTGTGAGGATTGATGGGAAGCGAGGCAGGGAGAGCCAGGGGTTAACTCTGATGTGTGCGCAGAGCTCTCTGGAGAGCCAGCGGCAGGCAGGCACATGCCTCTAACGACCTGAAGTGCAGCTCCCATTAGGCTTCCTTCTCATTACAGAGGCTGCAATTTTCTTTCAGGGACACCACAATGGCAGGCCATGCCCACTGCAGACCCAAAGGACCGGGGTGGCCTCTGGCTCTGGCCAGGTGCGAGACCATGGCAAATGCATGCAGCATAGCAGGCAGACAACTGGCCATTACTCCCTTCTCCGACCCAGGGTTACACAACATGATTAACCGTGTCCTGCACTGGGCACCTTCCTCTGCCAAGGGTCCCTCTGACTGCCCTGGGACCAGTTGGGCTGAGGAAGGGTCGCAGAATCCAGCTGGGAATGAGCTAAACCAGGTGGTGCCTCACCAATCCATACCCTGCCCAGCACAGCGTCTGGATCTCTCCACTCGTGCTGCTCTTGGAGGAGATGCTGAGAACTGTCGACAAAGGCCGAAGGGGCCAGGGGCTAACAGTGGGAGGGCTGAAGCTGTGAAAGCTCAGGAGAAAGGGCTGGGAATACACCAGAGTCTCAGAGCCCAACGGCAAAGCACCCTCCCGCCCTGAATTAAACGCCAGGCCACACTGCCGGAGGATAAGGGGTGCGGTGGTGTTGTTCCCTGCACCTCGGCTGTGGTAGAACCTCCTCTCCAGTAAGCACAGTCGAGCTCCTTCCCTTCATCGCCAGCACGGAGCCCCCATCTGATGCCAGGCTGGTATCCCCCACAGAGCTGCATCCCTCACCCCCTCACCAGTGCCAGGCTGGTATCCCTGACACAACCCTCCGCTCTGCAATGCCAGGCTGGCATCACCCAAAGAGCAGCCCGCACTTGGTGCCAGGCCAGTTATTGATGATCATAGCCCCACCCCCTTGTTGCTAAGCTTCTGGACAGGCCAATTGCCACTCACTCTTAATGGGACAGAAGCCCCATCGTTCATCTTTGCCATAATCCTGCGTGGTGGCACACCACAGATGCCCATCCTCCCGGCCTGTGCTGGTGCAATCATGGAACCACTGGTTGTCGTACTTGAAGGGGATGGTGCAGGGCTTCCCGTGGGAATTGCCTTGGATGGTGTAAATTTCTGCAGAGAGAAAGAGTGAGAAAATCCTCCCCGTAACTCGGCCTCCCTTCCTGGGGGACAGAGGGTTGCCGAGGAAAAATGCAATGCAGGGTACAGCACTGTACTCCGGCTCAGCCCCTTCTACCCACGGAAGTTCTACAGTATGGACTCTACCAGCCCTAGATTTATTATGCTCCAGCCCCGCCCCGCCACCACCCCAGCCCCAGAACTTCCTCCTTTGAGCTTTCGGAACCCTTGCGGCCCAACTCGCCACTGCTCTGTGCCTGGTGGAGTCACCACAGCAGTGCAAAGCTACTGCTGATTCACACCCACTCCACACTGGCATAAAGAATGACCCAAGATGAAGGGCAGTGGAGAATCGGGCCCTTAGACTGTGTCAACACTAGCACTTTTGTCGGTAAAACTTGTCAGTCAGGGGTGTGAAAAAACACACCCCTGACCAACATAAAGTACACCGGGAGACCTTCCAGCGGTGCAGCTGTGCCGCTGAAAGGTCGCTAGTGTAGATATAGCCTTAGAAGCTGGAGTTTAATTAGGTTTTCACTGCAGGCTTTGATTTGTTTCCAAGGGTCTCAGCAGGACAGTGCTTTAAATAACATCGTCATCATCCTGTTTGCTGTTGCTTTGAGATCCTAGGAAGAAAAGATGGAAAGTTCTATGGACCATTCAGCTGCTTGTATTTCAACTCCCCTGCAGCCTTGGTACAGACTGTTCATTCGTATAGTGCACAGCTCCCTGGGAGACAATCATGTCTGTAAGTATAGACGTTTACTATATTTATGGGAGGAAAGAAAAATGATTTTAAAAACCCTTATACAGTCTTCCCCCTGGGGATTTCCCAGGCAGCCAGGCTCCTAGGCCCCTATCCTGTAATGGGACAGACCCTTGTGGAGTTGATTCAAGCCGACAGAATTGTGCAAGGGGTGTGCGCTAAGGGCCCAATCCAATTCCCATTTATGCTGGCTACAAGACAGACTCGATGCAGGATATACAGCACCTAGCACAATGGGGTCCTACTCCACGACTGGGGCTCCTAGGGGCTACCACAATACAAATACATAATCCCCATAATAAATCATAATCCTCCCTTTTGGCCCTAAAAATCTAGGAAGTCAATGAGAGTCTCTCCACTGACTTCAATGCGAAGTGGATCAGGCCCCAGCAGATATGGATGCAGGATCGGGGCTTGTGCTCTAAGCTGTTTGGGGCAAGGGCTGTTTTCCTTAACTTCGATTAACAAATAAATGATGATGATGATAAGGCTGAAGACCTAATTTCAAAGAGTAATAATGGGCACATGGCTGAATTCTTGCTGACTCTTCCATGCGCTTGTACAGCGCCGAGCACAACAGAACCCTGATCTCAGTAGGAGCCTCTGGGCTCTACTATGTTCATAGAAAAATAGGGAAACAACCAGAGATCATGGGGACAATGTAGAACCACAGAGCCCTCCCCAGGCTTTACCAGAATAGGGGCTGGAGCACAAATCTTCATGGGTGGTATAGACACTCCACTGCCCACCGCGTGCCTGATCTCCTCTCTCGGCAGGTGCCAGGGAGAGGTTCCCTGCCTTGGCGTTCAGATACTGAGAGAGATGCTCCCCTAAGCTCCGGCAGCTCCACCTCATGTTGACGGACTCGCGGTCGCACTCGTAGGTGGCCAGTGACTGCACCGCCGCGGTGGAGTTGATGCCCTGCCAGGAGACTCCGAGGCACTGCATGGTCCCGAGGTTGAAGAGTCGGTTCCGGGAGACCCATTTCCACTGCTGGGCTGGGGCGCTGACGTTGCAGGCTTTGGAGACCTTCACCAGGGTGTCCTTGGTCTCCAAGCAGCCCTGCAGCCTGCTGTTGTAGATTCGAAACACCTTGGAATCTGGAAGACAAAGAGAATAAAGACAGTGAGAAAGGATTAGGCCCTGATGTGAATGTGAGCAGCCTCTGCTGTGACACCAGCCTGGACAACAACAATTACCAGGGCCGATCAATTCCCCTGCTGCATTGTACAGCACCTAACACAGTAGGGCCCTGCTCTCAGCATGACCTCTGGGAGATACCGTAACACACACCATAACAACAGCTGGACTGTGGGTCTGCTCTGGTACGGAAGTTCCTGGAGTCATAACAGATCACACTGCTTTTCAGGACGCTCTCGGCTTGTGGTGACGGTTGTTTTTTCCTTAGCCTCTGCCTCCTAACAGGATAACGAGGAGTATTATTTTTCCACTGATTGGCATGGAAGGGTCTCCAAGTGCTTGAAAAACAATAATTAAGCTTCACAGGATGTCAGCAGGTGAGTTTTAGGTATTAGTAAAGATACAAAGATCCTGGCAAAAAGGAATTTCTTCAACAGAGAAACTAAAGTGCTATTAAAACCTGAGCTTGCACTGATTGCTCTCAGTTCACTAACTGGCCCCAACAATTCAAGTGGCCTGTTAAAAGAATGCTAGGTTGCCTTCTAACAATGGATTTTAAACTTGCTCTCCACCACTGGAAGTACAGCCCAGGTCTATGGCTCAGCCAGAGGAGGTCTTCTTTAGCCAGTACGTTCAAAGCTGAAAAAATATAGCTATGCAGGGAAACACAATGGTGTTCATCACTTTTATGCACATCTGGGGCCTTGTTTAAAAAAAATATTGGAACACACACACAGTATTTTGGGGAAGGTCTCACACCACGTGACTCGCGAGTTGGACCTTCCTGATGGAAAACACTTTCAGAAAGCAGAGCAAACAACTCATGCTATGCGGTGTTAGTTTTTCTTCTCTTTTCCTCATTGTTTAGGTCATGTTTGAGCTTTGATCTCTTTATGCCTTGTTTGTGGGTCTATGTTGTACATTTTTCGCTACGCTTCAGTGATTTTCAAGGGGGCCGAAGGACGTAGGGACTCGATTCAATGGGAATGGAGTGCCTAATCCCTAAATGGTTTTGATCATTTGACCATTGGGGAAATACTGGAGGGACAGAGAAGTAAAGTGAGTTGCTCAAGACCACACACGCTACAAGTAAATCTATACGGCAGTTACAGGGTGCAATCGCAGCTTGTGTAGACGTACAGCAGAGCTAGCCTGGGTATCGCAGCAGTATGGGCTTGAGCGCAGACTACTGCCTGAGTAATTATCCAGGGTTCCTGGCAGATACGTACAGCCTAACAACCTGTAACAAAACTTCAAATACAGCCGCAATCACACCCCATATCAGACGTCCCTAAAGCCAGCGGCTGAGCTAGGAAGAGAACCAAGGAATACTGAACCTGCAGAAGCATCACTCTCTTAACCTAAGTGACACTTTCAGATAGTTGTGGCTTGAAACATGACAGGCCTTAGAACTCTCAGATCTAACCGAAACAAAAACTTTTGTTTAGTCATCGCTAAGGCTACATTAGAATACAGCCTACCCACTCAAAACCTTGAAAGCAAGGAAATTAACTCCGGGACAAGCCTTCTGCATTCCCTGCCACTTTCCTATTGGCTACAACACCGTCAACAACACAACAACCCTCCACAAGGCTTTCACTTCCACCTCCAACAGATACTAGACAGCGCTATTTACTGCGTCTCCACTGAACTGTCACTCTACTGGCAACTTCAGACTCCTGTATATCCACAGGCCAGAGTGCCCTGGAAGGTGATCTGCCTAAAAAAATCTGCTTGCTTTGTGTTAGACTTCAGCTTTCCAGAACTGTGTGAGAATCAGTGAAAATGTGTGTTTCTCACCAGCTGATGTGTTATGGAACCACTGCTCATGCAGGTGCTCCCCCCAACCCCAGTTATAAAGGGGAAAGTGCCATGCTGATATTGTATTAATCTGCATGTGAGCAGCAACATGCGGTATAAGAGTGCAGAGTGGGGCATTTCAAATGTCTTGCAAAAGGGGCCGAAAAAACCCAAGACTTGCCAGTAAAAATTTCAAAAAGGGGTGATTTTGGAACTCTTTGTTCTGTTTTTATCAACTTATTTTTCATCATGAAAAAATAAATCCTACTCAAAGTTTACACTCTATGGTTAGGGTTTTCGGGAGAGGGTTTCTTATCATTTTTATAAGATTTTTACAATAATAATAAAATGTCTTTAAACTTCTATTAAACTGAAATTTCCACTCCAAATTAACTATGCTGTTGCAACCAGTGCTCCAGCATAATGAAGTTGCAAACAGCTCACAGAATTTAAATAACTTTGTTTTAAACTGACTTGCTGTTGCAAAAATTTTTTAAAATTGCTTCTGTTTTTGTAGGACTTAGATATAAATAATATTTTATGTTCCTCAAGCCGGCTCTGAAATAAATGTTATCTAACAGTCCAACTCCCAAGTAGAGGTAACACCATGAAGGACATTAAAGTAAGGTCATGTCTACTGTGACGGGGCAAGGCCAGATGGCCATAGAAAAGTAGTGGGAGATAGATATAGCTCCAGGCTAAACAAATCCCTGGTACCAGGTTAAGTGAAATGGAAGCTGCTCCAGGTCAATTAAGACACGTGGGGCCAATTAAGAACTTTCCAGAAGGCAGGGAGAATGCTAGGTTGATTGGGACACCTGAAGCCAATCAGGGGCTGGCTGAAACTTGTTAAAAGCCTCCCAGTTAGTCAGGTGGGGGTGCATGTCAGGAGCTGTGCGAGGAAGTTGTGTTGTTGGAGAGGCTGAGTAGTACACACCATATCTGGCGCAAGGAAGGAGGCCCTGAAGTAAGGGTGAAGTGGAGCTTGAGGAAGTGAGGGCTGCTGTGGGGGAAGTAGCCCAGGGAATTGTACAGGTCATGTTTCTAAAAGGTCTGCTACCATAGTTGATTCTATTAGGGTCCCTGGGCTGGAGCCCGGAGTAGAGGGTGGGCCCGGGCTCCCCCCCACCTTTGCCCCCTGATTAATCACTGAGACTGGGAGACAACAAAGACTGTGCAAGGAAGGATAACTTCTCCTCACCTCCCTTGCTGTCTTATGATGAAAATGGCTCAGTAGACTGTGACCCTTGTCTCTAGAGAAAGAAGGGTTACGTGGAGGGTCACAGTGAGCCTCTGAGGCTAGCGAAATCCGCCAGGAAATGCAGGACCCACGGAGGCAAGGACAGAGCTTTGTCACACTACACTGAGCTGTCGTGTGGATTAGAAGGGTGTGAATGGCAGAGCACACCAAAGAGCTGCACCATAACTGCAATGTGCGGACACTGCTGGTGAAAACTAAAAGCATCATTCACACAGTGCAGGTCAGAATGAAACTCCTTGATGGATGCTGCAAACCGGACCCCGTAATCTACACTGCAGCACAGTCTAGATAAGCCCAAAGAAACAAAACCAAATAAAGTGTTAATTTCAAGCTCCCATTGTGGGGGTGAATAAAAGAAAAATCAATGTTTGCTAAAAGTTGAAAGGGATACAAATTTGAAGAGAAAGAAGGATGGGCTTCTTTCTCTCAGAGAAGTTTCAAACATGATGGAGACTGAAAAAATTATCAATAACTAAGGCTAAGATTTAATCATGGGTATTTTTAGCAAAAGTCATGGACAGGTCACAGGCAAAAAAACACAAAATCACAGCCAGTGACCCATCCATGACTTATACCATAAATACCCATGACTGAATCTTGGGGGGCAGGGGTGGAACTCTGTGAGGGGAAGCACCAGAGGTGTGGGGGGGAACCCCGGGGGGCCTGCTGCTTCTCCTCCAGCCATGGTGGTGGTGTGGAAGCCCCAGGGGACTTGCTGTCACTCCCCCGGGGGGTGGAGGGAGGGAAGCCCCAGGCGACCAGCTGCTGCAGAAGTCACAGAGGTCAAAGGAAGTCATGGAATCTGTGACTTCTGCAACAACATGGAGCCTTATCAATAACCCATAATTTTCAAAGTCGATTGCTTAAAGTCAGGCACCCAGTGCCAGATTCAGGCATCAAATAAGCATTCTGATTTTTAAGATGCTCGCTATGACGCTGGCAGACCAGGTGCCTGCTCATGCCAAGGCCTCTGGGGCCTCGCGGAATACTGACAAATGCATAGCTGGAAACCAGTCTAGCTCACTTGCGTGTTAGTATTGTTAAAACAGATGTTCGTGTTTAGACTTGATGAAACGCTTGTAGGCTGCTGAATGTATTGATCTAGCTTATGACACCTGTAGCCCGTGGTATAAAATTATACTGAGGGTTTGCAGTGTGAAGCTCTGTAACCGTGTAACACACCAAACAGGAAAGAAGCACTAATTAATGTAGAGTGCGGGGCCTCCCCACAAGAAAGCCCACTGAAACTAGATGAGCCATTGTGAAAATCAAAAGACAAAGACTTTTTTGATTGTGTCGAGACGAGTGCAAACATTTGTCCCTTCAGCTTGGACTCAGGGGGACAGAAATAAAAATCCCTGACCAGAAGGACCTGTAACACTACAGTGCTTGGAATTTGGAGAGGGCAATATTTCTAAGCATAAGCAAGGAATCCCCAAGCTCCTTAGCTTGGGCTAGCTATAGAGGACATAGAAAACTTGCATATCGCAGCAGTTTCTATTACCTTTTGGGACCTAAGGCTGTATCTCATTTGTGTGCATATGTTCACCTGCTTTAACCTTGTAAATAACTCATTTCTTTTTCTTAGTTAATAATTCTTTAGTTGGTTTATTATCTGATTGGCTACAAGTGTCTTAAGTGTCAGGTCTAAGGTGCAACTGATCTGGGGTAAGGACTGGTCATTTGGGACTGGGAGTAACCTGAGTATTGCTGTGGTTTTTGGTGTAAGAGACCATCTATCACAAAGGCAAGTTTGCCCGGGTACAGGGGGGATTTGATTTAAATCAAATTGACTTGAATCACAATTTAAATCATGATTTAAACCACTAGTCAGGAAGACTCGATTTAATCATGGTTTTCTACATAAAAGTGCATTCTTGTTGGTTGTTATAACCTTAA